CCTTTGTTTCTTTAATCTGCAATGTTTCCATGTTGTTTCTATGCCAAAGTTCAGCAGTTGAGACAGCTTGTGCAAGCCCACCCATGGGATATGGCAGGGTATAAATTAAATTATTATTATTAATAATAATAATTATTATTATTTTTATTATTACTAGTAGTAGTAGTAGTATTCATGAGAATAACCACTCCTGCTCCACGCCACTTACCTCCCTCTGTCATCCAGCAATTCTTTCCTGCAATGTGGCATGCACAAACATTGCTGCTGTGGTTCCAGGGCTTCCTTCAAAGACACATACCATAAATGTATGCATCTTTCATTGTGTGACTGTTTAACTACACAAACTGCCCATCCAGCTCTTAGCTGTATGAGAGTCCACAGTGTACGTGGGCAGTACCCTTTTTGCGCTCAGTTGATGTTGTTCATCTGAGAGATTAGCATGTCTCTCTTGCTTTTCATGCCCTTTTCCCTCTATAAACAGTGTCAAGTCCTGTTTCCAGAACATGGAGATTTGCAAGCGGCGGGTGAACATGTATGACACAGTCAATCAGAGCAAGACACCGTTCATCACCCATGTGGCCCCAAGCACATCAACCAATTTAACCATGACCTTCAACAATCAGCTCAATACGGTCCATAACCAGGTGAGAAAACCATCTTTATGTAGCCCAATAGTGAAGGGTGTTTTTTTGTTTTTGTTTTTTACAAAAACAGAGAAGCTTGATGAACTACCCTTGGCATTTCAAAGGCACCAAACTGCCCAGTCTGCTACATCACCAGTTGTTCCCACATGTTTTATAGTTTTGACATGGCAGACCATAAGTGGGTAGAGATTCTATGTAATCCTCTCTCCTATGATCACAGGATTTGGGTATTTGATGTGGAATTCTGCTGCCTGGGAATCTCAGGGTTTGTTCTTTTTAAGCAAGTTGCAGACCAGGATGATAAAAATAAGTGTGCAGATATGTAGAACCAGCAGTGCAATCCTAAGCAAGGCCACACAGCCCTTCCAAGGACTACATTACTAAATCACAGAAGCCAAGGAGACCTGAGTAGGACTTCCAGTGGTCAAAGAGTTGCCCTTCATAATGTTGCATGGCTGTTTATCTCATCTCTTGGCCAACAGGAGAGGAATAAATTGTGAGGTTTTTCAAATGTGCAAATGTGTGTAAACCATCTAAGATACCCAGGCAGAATTTATCTTTTCTAGGGGGAAGAGATATGAGTTATCTTCTTCCATTCATAATAACAAGTACCAAATATTCATAGCCCTGGTAGTCTGTGATAGTAACGGTTTGATGCAACGTTGAGAGCCAGTTTGGTGTAGTGGTTAAGTGCGTGGACTCTAATCTGGGAGAACCGGGTTTGATTCCCCACTTCTCCACATGCATCTGGCTGGATGACCTTGGGCAAGCCATAGTTCTGGCACAGCTGTTCTTAAAAAAGAGCAGTTTCTGTCAGAGCTCTCTCAGCCCCACCTACTTCACAGGGTATCTGTTGTGGGGAGGGGAAGGGGAAGGAGTTTGTAAGCTGCTCTGAGACTCCCTTGGGTAGTGAAGGGCGGGATATAAATCCAATCTCTTCTTCTTCTTTATGGTTGCATATGACAGGTCATTGATAGGAAATACTGTGTTCTTAGGCCTATTGTTGGCTTTTGGGAAGAAGTAAAACTGCTTCATGCCAATTGAGCACTTACAGACCAAACCAGCGGATTTCGGTGGTTGTTTATGGCTTTAGTGCCAGCACGTCTGGTTTGTGAGGTTATTATACTTTCCCACCTTTGGTGAATTGTAGATAATTTCTTTTAAAATGGGTAGAGATGTTACAGTGGCTTCTGAGAACAACTCTGGAAAAAGCAAAGCTCCGGGTGCCAGTCCCTAAGTCAGTTTCAAATGCTTGTGGGGATCTAGGCTTCCAAAAACAGAACTCTGCTGGTTTCCTCTTTCTGTAGGCTATTTTGAACTCCAGTCTCGCCTTGTGTTTTTCTTGTTTTATGATGCCTTCATAACAGCAGCACCCCCCCAGTTTCCAACATCATTCCATGACAAAATAGAGAGGGTGGCCATCAGGCATCTCAAAGATTCCCTTCCTCCCTCTACCTTTCTACCTTGATTTCCAGAAACAGTGAGTTCTTGTGTAGATCGGCCCTATTGCGAAGATGCTTCCCTTTGATGGTTCTCTACCGCCAGTCTGTGCGGAATGAGAACACCACGTAGATTTGCTGCACTGCTGCTACAGCTATAAGTATTCTTACAGAGGTCTAGCTTTGTGCTGAGTGCTGCACAGATATGGCTCAGCCCATTTTCAGAAGCTTCTATAGAGAAGGGAGAGCACAGGATGATAATGGGACAATATGGGGGACGAGAGGTGGGGTCTTCGTTGGCTACATAGGGGATACTTGTTTAAAAGTTTCACAAGGTATATTTGTAAAAGGAAGCTGCTTAGGAGAAATGAGGTGCAGAAAACGAACAGACCTGATATAATGAAAGCAGTGAGTTTGTAGGAGGACCCACAGTGGCGGAGCAAACACATTTGAAAGTTCCCAGGTCCAATCCCTGCAATGGGTCTTCAGTAGCAGAGCTAGGAAACGCCTCTGCCCAAGACCTTAGAGAGCAGCTCAGTCTGAGTAGACAATACTCAGTATTGTCTCCTAGTATCAAGGAGTTTCATACATTTATAGCACTTCAGAGTGGAGTGCAAGAGAAGGAAATCAGTTAACCAAACACTACTAAAGAGACTGGTTGCGTTTAAGTATTTTTTTCCCCTTGCTTCTAAAGCTCCCCAGAATTTTTTTTCTGAAGAATTTTAATCCCAGTCCTTTAACAAAGTTTGCCATCTCTTGAAATGAAAAATTAGACAGTGCCCTGGGTGGAACTGCACATTATACATTCTAGGAATTAAGCATCTAGAAGATATTTACTCACTGAGGTCTCTAATCTCTACCCTACCTACCCCCACAGAAACACTCATTCACACCATTTGACAGACACCTGGGCACACAAGAAACTTGCACATAAGAACTTTCACATTCTTTCTTGCACACACAGACAAAAAGAAAGAAAGAACTTACAAAGAGACACTCTGTTCTCACAGGCACACACGCCCAAGCACAATTGTGGGCACGTCATTGGCCCTCCTGTGGTACTGCTGCTGGCTGCTTCTGTGGGTTGCAGGCTGGTCACTCTACATCTAATGGGCTTAAGTTACAAGTCAGCAGAATTTGGCTGAATGTGAGGAGAAATTTTTTCTGAGAACAAGGCTTGCCAGAAGCCCATCCGTGCACTGACTCACTGTGCAGGGGGAGAAAGAGGGTTCTGGCCCTGCCCTCCACCTCTATGAGATCATCAAATGATCTTCATGGAGTGAATGCTCAGAGGAAGTATCCGTGTGTATGCTCCCTCCCCGTGATCAGCGGCACTGCTTTCTAAAAGTTGCTGGTCATGGGGGGGTGGCTGGTTGAAGGCACTTCCTCTGTGCATTTGCACCATGCAAATGACTTGACAGTTACACAGAGGTGTTGACGGGGGGGGGGGGCAACACCAGCATGCTCACGCCCACTCTCCTTCGCTGCGCAGTGAGTCAATGCACAGATCGATTGTGTGCACAGAGCTAGGAAGTTCAGCTACCAAGGAAGTTGTGAAGGACTGCACTTTTTAAGAGGCTTGGAAAGTGCTGTGTCAGCATAGAAGTCTCCAAGCAGATGCTGGACAGTCGTCTGTCAAGAATGTTCTAGCTTTGAGTTTTCTGCACTGAGCGGCAGTGGGTGGGTTGGACAGACCGTCCTCCGTTTTTTGTTCTGCTTGTCCACATTAAGCAGGCCGTGTACGATAATGACAGGAAAGCTCTCATGCTTTCCTATCCTTCGCTTCTTACTCACATCTCCCACCTCCGCGTCTGCTTTTCTACTTTACAACATTTTGTTTGTCTTCTCTCCCCCCCCCCAAGTGTTTGTTTTACTTTATATCATGTAAAAGACTGGCTTCCCCCCAGAAAAAAAACACACATTATCATCTCCGTCATATTTTATTTTTTTATTTTATTTTAAATTCCATCGTTCCTTTAGGCCACCAACCTGGCTTCCACCTCCACCACCAGTGCCACTATTTCCTTAGCCAACCCTGAAGTCTCCATACTAAACTACCAATCTGCACTCTACCAGCCCTCGGCAGCATCCATGGCCGCGGTGGCCCAGAGGAGCGTGCCCCTGCAGACGGGAACGGCGCAGATTTGTGCCCGGCCTGACCCCTTCCAGCAAGCGCTCATTGTGTGTCCTCCCGGCTTTCAAGGTAAGAGGCAGGACTTCCTTTATATCGCTTCACTTGCAACGGTTCTTGCAGTTTTGATTGATGCCTCCCTCGGGCTCATCCTGTTGTTAATAAGGACTCCCTTGAGTCTTTTTGGCAAGGGGTCAGTCTTACAACGAAGGCAGATAAACAAAACCAGTAAGATCTAAAACTCTATCATCACTGCAAGGTAAGGGGGGGAAAGGTGCAGATACAGTGATAAATCCGTGTTACTGACCTGGACATGCGTATCCTTTAGATGGTGTCAGAGTCAGGGTTGTGAAGAACCTAGCCATGAGCATGAATAGTTGATTAATTTAGTTGAATAAAAAAGACAGACAAATTGGGCCACAGTGACAAATCACCGGGGGGAATTAATTAATGGGAAATTTCTCCCTGAATGAAAGTTGTACTATATCCTGCATGAACGGGACAGTTCCTCCTACCCCTCTCTTCTCCTCCCATCCTTTCCCACTTTTTGCCGATACTGAGCTGTCCTCCTAGAATATGCTCAGTCCTCATCAGACAAATGGAGGAGGTCACTTCTTTTAATTTACAAAGTAATATTTTTCTACATATTTGAGGGTTTCTCTGGGTAATGCAGAAGCCCCAAACTTGTCTGTGCGTGACTCTGTTTCTCCGCCTTATACTCAGCCATCAAATTTACTATTAGAAGAAACTATTAATTGAGGAAAAAACATTTTTGTGTTAATTAAAAAGGTATTATTTATTTATCTTATGGCAGAGTTACACACAGGAAGCATATAATAATATAAAATATGTAACCAAGTTGATACAATCGGTATGCAGGCTGATTGGGTGATCCCCCTAACTACTACTATCTAAATTTTCAATCCACTCAATCACAGCTGGGAAAAGGTCAAAGAGTTCCATCGCATCTCCCTGGAAAGCACGATGCTCACATTCCTGTGACAGATGGAAAATAGTTTGGCTGGCTGCACCACAATCTCATTTGAGTCCTGGTATTTTGCCCCATTTAAACAACAGGTCTGCACAACTGCCAAAGCTTGTTTGTATTCTATTAACCATCTTCCATACTTTATGGCTCAAGTCAAATCCTGTGGGCCTCTCATTGATATTTAACAGGTTATGAATATTGGGTGGAACTGATTGCATCCATGTTCGCGACCATTCAAAAAAAAAGGTGCAGTTGATTAACTGTGTAGCAGTTGTTTTAAAAACATTGTTAATTATTTTATTCAGGTACAAAACCCAAAAATTACACCTACCTTTTAAAAAGAGGCATTCCTCCTCCTCTGTCATGCAAAGGAGGGGATATCTCTTCTAAGAAAATGTCTACTGCAATGGCTTTTTGTTTTAAGAACTGTTGATTTAGACATATGCGAATGCAAGGAGATTTACAAGGCAATCCTAAACTGTTTTAGAATGTTCAAAAAAATCGCAGCCTCGTGTTCTTACTGGAGGCTCTTACCAGAAGGGACAAAAGGTAGCTCTAGGAACTGCTGGAGACTTGGTGGTTTTACTATAGAGTTCCTGTTGATTCCTACAGCTACCCTTAGTCACTTCCGGGTTGGTTTGTTTTTTACCAGAAGTGATGTAGCTCTGCATGGTCCTGTCCACAACCCTCCCACTGGTTGCCAGGCACTGTCTGGAATCCTGTTCTTGGTTCATCCACATAACTGTACTGCTGTGGATTCTCTGCACTGCTGGGTGATCCTGACATTCACAGATGCATTAAATAAGATGTATAGGTATGATATGAGCTTATTCACCATTGCAGGATTGCAATTCAGTGTGGCCATTGCTAATTTGTTAAGGGGTTTTTTTTGATGCTTCTTGGGACTGGCAGACAGAAGGAACGGCCCCTTTCCCTCGCTGACTTCCACTCTTATCCAGAACTAGCACTGCCCTTGTGCGTCTGGGCTCAGCTGCTGTCTGGAAGCCCGTGCTGTTGCCACCTGGCTCCCTCGCTTGTCGTTTTTATCCAAAGATATTAAAGCACTTTGCTGATATTGATGTCTCGGCACGCTGCTGTGCAGCAGACGTTTAATACTTTTTATGCAGGGTTAAAATAACATAAAAGAGCTGGAGGGTGAAATCCTGAAAAGTCTCCTGGGTCTTATTTACAAAAGCTACAAAAGGCATTTGACTATCTTGGCGATTTTTTTTTATCCTCGGTGGTTTCTTCGAGTCTCACAGCGCAAAGTGAGCGGGGGCGGCTGAAAGGGCGGCAGACTGCTGGCTGCTTGATTTTCCACCTTTGCTTTAAGCAACGGGCTACCCTTCCTTCAGAGAACAGGATTTCTCTTTTTCAAAGAGCAGACTGCTGTGTCGAGCTTGCCTTCATCGGAGAATCACTAGGAAATGGTCCCATAGATTAATTTACAGAGTTCACCCCCTTCCTAATAGTTTAGGTAAAGGTAAAGGTTCCCTTGCTCGAAAGCCAGTCGAATCCGACTCTAGGGTTGCGGTGCTCATCTCCGTTTCAAAGCCGAAGAGCCAGCGCTGTCTGAAGGCATTTCCGTGGTCATGTGGCCAGCATGACTAAACACCAGGGCGCACAGAACGCTGTTACCTTCCCACCGAAGTGGTACCTATTTATCTACTTGCAGTTTCTTGCTTTCGAACTGCTAGGTTGGCAGGAGCTGGAACTAGAGACGGGAGCTCACTCCGTCATGTGGCACACTCGGGTCTCGAACTGCTGAACTACCAACCTTCCACAGCCTGCAGTTCAGCGTCTTAACCACTTGAGCCACCGCAGCTCCTCCTAATAGTTTGGGAGGCAATGGATTCTAGTCCAGTAGCACCTTATGACCAACAAGATGTGAGAGGCAAAGCTCCCTTTGGCGGATAACTGACAAAGATAACTGATAACTGACAGAGGGAACGCTGACTCTCCAAAGCTCACACCCCGAGAATCTTGTTGGTCTCTGAGGTGCCACTGGGCTCCAGTCTACCTTTTCTACTGCAGACCAACATGGCGACCCTCTGAAATAGTTACACTGAAGTTATCCGTGCATGCTTAACATCGGCCCAAAGAGGAACGTTTTGTTACTCTTCAAGAAAGTGTACAGGTTCAGTTTTGAACAGAACAAGCACTGGGGAAGGGTGTTCCACTCCGAACACCGCTTGACATAGCCTTCCTCCTTAAACTTGCCACCTGGATGATGTTTTGGGAAGCTAATCATTAAACTTATTTTCTTTCAGGATCATGCCCCACTCCAAGATACATAGAGATATATCCAGGGGTCATTTCGTAGAAAAAGAGGTGCAGGAGCTCATTAGCATAACTCATTAGCATAACTTATTTGCATATGCCACACCCCCTGACATCACTGGAAGTGTGTCAGAAGGCAACACCCACCGCTCAGGCTCCACTGGACTGTTTTGGATTGCTAGCTATTGGGGGGGGGCGCGTGCAGATCTGTCCTCGCAGAGGAGGGAGAGCTTGTACCTCAATAAACTTAGTGCTAAAGGTGCCACTGGTCTGTTTTGGGCCGGGGGGGGGGCTCTGCAACTTACCTGGCTGCTTCTTGCTCTGACTGAGGGCTGCTGAGAGCAGGGGGTGGGGCTAGTTGCATGTGCCCGCCCCCTGGGTTCTTTACTGCCGGAGCTCCGCTCCTGTGTGCTCCTGCAGGAAATGACCCCTGGATATATCTCTTTTTGATTAAGACTACAGTCCTATTCACCTTTACCTGGGCATAAGTTCTGTCGAACTCAGAGTAACATGGATAGGCTTGGGTTGTCCAAGTAGCTTAGAAGTTCTTGGGGGGGGGGGTATCGAGAATTGCAGGTGTACTTGGTCTTTGTGACTTACCGAATTTTTTCCTCTTATGATCCACCACATGGGAGGTTGCTCCCAAACTGAAACTCATTTGCCCTCCTATGCGGTGAATCGCTGAAGCTTTATTAACCTACAGAGGAGAACTGTTAACACAGCTGAGAATTTCTCTGAAGATTTCACTGCACCACTTTCAATGCTGAAGAGGCAACATGCTTTTTCAGGTTGCATTTTCAAATATAATGGGAAATGACTAGCCAGTATGTGATGGAAACTTCAAAGGATCTTTTGGCTCTTCATAATTTTCCTGTTATTTTCTCTGTGATCTCTTGAATTCATCTGAAACTCCAACAGGGATCATTGATAGTTCCCAGCTCATAGTCTTAAGATCCACTAAGAATTCAGATGCACATGGAAAGAGTCGATGTGGTTAGACTCCTTATTACATTGCACTTTTCAACCTGTTCAGTGTGGCATAATGGTTCAAAGCCATCAGATTCTCACTGGACTGAGGTGCCATTTACAGGAACTTAGAGCCTTTTAGAGATGCTGAAAAATGACCCAACAGGTGCTGCTCTGGTCAGCTTTGACTAAGTTAGAACTTCTCTCTGCCCTGCTAGGCCACTGGTCCACTGGTATGTCTGGCTGATGCTGCCATATATTGATGTTGCCAATACAGTAAACAATGCTGCACTAGAAAGAAGTCAATGGGGAGCAATAAAGTGGAGGAATACGAAAAGACTATTAAAGACACTGTCCGAGAACATGGGGATAGTCCCAAAGGACACTTGGAAGACAGTATTGTTACAGCCACACTGATGAAGCTTAGCCAATCTGGTTAGTGTCCATCTAGGAGATTTCCTGGAAGCACAGTGTATACCACCTTGAATTCCTTGGTGCAGAATATAGATTAAATTAAAAAATTAATGGCAGAACCAGTAGGTTCAAACTGACGGAAATGAAGGGGGCATCTGAAAGAATGGAAGGGCAGCTGTCCTTATGGAGCAGTTGCTCAGAAACATTGTAGGATCGATCTCAGCCTTCGGAAAATTTTAAGATAATCATCCAAAAACCTTTTAGAACAAACAGTATGAAAAATAAAGGAGAATGATGCCCACCAGAGTCATTTGTAGCAGCTTTTATGGATTGATTGAAGTCCTTATAATCTACTTTCCCTCCAGGCTCAAGGCAGCTTACAAATCAGTTTGCCTAGATCCAGCCTGGAGAGGCCCATTAGTAAGGCTTGGCCTGGATCTATTCCCGGTTCTGTTACCCTGGAACTTTTACAAAAAGTGGAGTGGGCTTCTAAATATTACACTACCCTAATTCTGTTTAATGTTTAAGATCCCCTTTCCTAAAGGGGCAGTGGAGGGCTAACTCTCTTCACCTTTTGTTTCCATGGCACAGGGCTGCAGACGTCTCCTTCTAAGCATGCTGGGTATTCTGTGCGGATGGAGAACGCCGTTCCAATCGTCACTCAGGCTCCAGGGGCTCAGCCCCTTCAGATCCAGCCAGGACTCCTAGCACAGGTAAATTGAATTCTTCTAGGGCTATTTTGTACAGCACTCAGCTATAATACGAAGAATCTGGTGTCCAGCAAATGTTATTTAAGAATAAGAAATATGAGCATACTCCCTGAGTGTGGATTTTGAGCTCTAGTGTATGCTTGATGGATTCACTTCTCTTTTGCCAGCTTTTTCATCCCCTCAGCTCGCTGTCTCATGGAATCTTAAAAGCATCACACAGTCTCTGAAAGGCTTTCTACCTGCATTTTTCTTGTATTTGTTTCCCCCAAGGGCAAAATTAGGTATTACGGATGGACTGGTTATACAACATTCAGTATATTAAGGGCAAACAAAAAGTTGTTGTTGTTGTCGTCATCTTCTTCCTCCTCCTCCTCTTCTTTCTTATCAACAATAACATAACAGTGTGTTTATAGAATAGCATAACTGGTACCCCTTTCTCAGGGATATTCTTCTGTCCCCTTCTATCACTGTCTTCGATGGGTGAAGACTTTTTGTTTTGTCTGGCATTCCCTCAGTCATCCCAAACACCTTCCTGCCCTGTGTTTTAATGGCTGTTTTGTGAGGTTCTACATATATTTGGTATTTTGGGTTTTAATTGGTTTTATGATATGCTTTTATAATGTTTTGTTTTTAATTGTTAGCCACCTACATGGCCCTGATTGGGCAGAAAGGCAGGATATAAAATTTGTAAATGTAGTAAATGGATAAATAAGTAAAAAGACAGGTGTCCACCCCAGGGAGATTGCAAAGCAATGCAGATTTCCACTGAAGGGGAGATAACAGAAGGGTGAGAGGCTGTCAAGACAAAAGCTATGCTAATAGGGGAAGAAAGTGAGCAAATGCAATTAAAATACTTACGTGAGTTTCTTTAAGGGTTGGGGTTGAATGATTAAGCTATGAGCTTCACAGAAAAAGAGGCTTTTGCAGGGGAGCAGGATTTGTATCTAAAGGGGGAGGTGGTACCATAAGAGGTCTTGTGAGGGACTTTGAGGAAGAATGGGCAGCAAAGAAGGGTGGGAAGAATGTAAGGGCACTGGAGGATTTTTGAGGGGAAATGTATATTGTATTACATTTTGAGGTCAATCAATAACTCAAATGTACAGGGTTGGATCCAAAGTTCTGTTTTCCACTCATGGAATGGCAGAACAGGACTTTACTTCCTCAACTACAGCCCACTGGTCACTCCCAAATGCTGTTCCTGGGGCCAGGGAACACTCAAGAACAGGGTGAAAGGCAAATCAGGGGTCTGCAGTGAACGGGGTGATCAACAGAATCAGCCTTCTATTAATGGATAATTTGGCCTGGATCCAACCCGTAAATGTACAGTATACGCCCAGAAAACAAATGTATAATTTTAAATGTCAGTAGAATAAAAATATCTTAAATGCTTAATGCAATTCAACAATAAATACAGAAAAAAGGTCCATGGGAAGTATTTAACCTTATTTTACAAGATTTATAAGGCTGCCTTTCTCCCAGCCAACTGTCGTCCTTTTCTATGAATGGTGATTTCATAAATTAATAATTCTTACTTCCTATCAAGTCCTGAATAATCAGAGGAAGGTATTGGGTGGGTGGGGGGAATAGATTTCTTTTGGTATGACTCTTTGGATGAGTTTGCTGACATTCAGGGTCTTTATGAGTACTAAGTCTGTGTCTGGGGATATGCTTGCTAGTCCTTGGTTGGAGTGGTGGGTCCCCCATCTCCACATTCTGCTGCCTGTCACTGTTCCAAGTGGTGGTGGTGGGCTTTTTTAAAAAGGTAACATTGACTGTATTGCTATGTCAATCTAGAAAAAATCCTGAAAATGTTTTAGAGTAACTCTAGGAATCACTGGAAACTCTATGGTTTTATCCTATGCCACTTCTGTTTTTTCTCTGGAAGTGATGTAGCGACAGAGTTGACATTATCATGTCTGCCCATGTCCCCACCCTCAATTTTCCCAAAGGTTTGGCCTGGCATCCCTATCTAGGAGGGAATTTGCTCCAAGGGTTGCTTTTTCCTATGTGTGGCTTGGTTCGATAGCTCAAGGTATTTGCTGTGTAAGAACGTTTTGCACTGCACAGCTGCTCTCTGCTTCTGGCACACTTTAGTCTGAACTGCATAGATTGTTCTTTTTGCAGCTGCCAAGTAGAAGGATAGTCCTGCCACACAGGAAATTTCCTGAACTGGATTAGGTGGGCTGCTTAGTGTTGCTTAAAATTCTTGATCCTCTCATTTCTGGGGTAAGAAGTAGTGTCAGGGACTGTATTACAGAAAGGACCATGGCTCAGAGCTTTGCATGCACAATGGTCCAGGTTCAATCCAATTAAGATGGATTTGGGATAATTGCTGTGGGAAGGATCTCTACCCAAGAACTTGGAGAGCCACTGCCAGTTAGGGTAGACAATGATGGCCCAGACGGGACAATAGAGTATATAGGGCTTGGAGCTATGTAAAAATATGTGCCTCCAAATGCTTAGGGATTTTGATCACCCCATTACAGTGTCCACTTTGCCTTCCAGACAAAACAAACTTGCACCAGTATATAAAAGCAAATGCAACGTAAGAGCCAGAGCATTCCAATGTTCTTAGGCATCAGCAAGCACCAGAATCCTGCCAAAGCCATTCCTTGGCTGGAAACCATTCCAGTGAGCACCAGAGTTCAGTCATTTTCTTTCACCAGCTGCCAGCCCACCTTATCTGGGAAAGAGCGTAAAGGTAAAGGTTGCATAATTTTCTTTCACTGAACCCAAGTGCCTCCTTCTGTTCCCAATGAAGAGCCTTTGTTAAAGACCTGCCTCTTGGACGTGAATGAAGCCCACCTCTACTAAATCATGCCATCCCATTCCAAGTGCCATGTTTTGAAAAACTATCCTTCCATTTAGGAAGGGTGTGGGTGGGAAATCAGAGCATTCAGAAGCAGGACAAGAAAGCAAGAGGGTTTTTGAAGCCAAGGAGAGGAAAGGAAATTTTATAAACAAAATGTGGAAAATATTTGGACAGAAGCACCATGTGAAATTAGTTGGATCGTCAGACTGTGTGCATTTGCAATCATGTACGGTGTCAAAAATCAGACCCAAAAGCTTAGTCTTTTTAGTTGGCTTTAAGACAATTGGCTGTTTCAGCAGACAGACTAAAAACATAGGGTTGGTCTAAAGCCTCTAGATGGAAAAGCGAAGATGGAGACAAGTCAGGGCATAATTATGCCACTTAACCAGGGGTGAAAATTAGGGTGTGGACATGCCGTAAGATTTTCAGTTTCCCACAGCTGGCATCTCTTGCACTCCAAATGCTTTCGTAAACAGCCACTCAGCTGGCCATTTGATATGAGTAAGAATTATATCCAAGTGACCAAATGCAGCGTTTATTTATTCTTGCAAAAGCTTTGGGAAAAGGTGAGATAAAAACAAAAATAATGAAACTGCAAGAGAATTCCAGAATGGTGGCTGTGTTAATCTCTTGCAGCAAAAACAAAATGGAAGCTCAGGGCATCTTAAAGTTTCACAGTGCAATCCTACATAGCGTTACATCCTTCTAATTCCGTTGACTTCAGTGGCCTCTTCTGAGCATAGCTGTCTGTAGGATTGTGTTGTAAGCTCTCATGAACTAGAGTCTGTGTCATCAGATGCATGAATGTGTCTTTAGCTGGGCGTGGAACAACGGTCACTGCGAGTGTGATCCAGCATTGTGAAGGGGGTTGGACTAGATGACCCTGGAGATCCTTTCCAACTCTATGATTCTATATGAGGAAAAATAATAAAGAGTGGGGTCAAAAGGAAATGAGATGTAAGAATTGGCGCCTTGCTTTGTAAAACGTACATGTATCAAAATGACTATCATAGCTGCATTTGGATTAGTAGACAATAAACAGGTAAAGGTTCCCTTGCTCGAAAGCCAGTCGAATCCGACTCTAGGGTTGCGGTGCTCATCTCCGTTTCAACGCCGAAGAGCCAGCGCTGTCCGAAGATGTTTCCGTGGTCATGTGGCTGGCATGACTAAACACCAAGGTGCACGGAACACTGTTACCTTCCCACCAAAGTGGTACCTATTTATCTACTTGCGATTTCTTGCTTTCGAACTGCTAGGTTGGCAGGAGCTGGAACTAGAGATGGGAGCTCACTCCGTCATGCGGCACACTCAGGTCTCAAACTGCTGAACTACCGACCTTCCACAGCCTGCAGTTCAGCGTCTTAACCACTTGAGCCACCGACAATGGTGTTTATTAATTTTTCTGGGCATATTCACAAGGCTGGGAGATAGGGTCTCCCACCTGATGGCAACTTGCACCTTTCCCATAGAATTTCCAGTGGTTCCTAAAGACAACTCTTCTTGGTTTTCCCCAAACTTGACATCGTACCATAGCCACTGGTGCCCATATGTTCCCACTCCCTGGACTCCTGCTAGGTGCCAGGATGTGCCAGACTTTGCCTGGAATCCTTATGTGTGAGAAGATTGTCTTCCTTGCTGTATCCTGTACATCTGGGATCCCTTCCTGTTGTGCAACCTCCATTCATTTTCATGAAGACCTTTGATGAATTGCTTATAAACAGTAATCCCGAGGGCATGGGAGTCATTAATGTGAGGCAGAGTAGCCTTCAGCTTGACCCTAGACCATGTCTTCAATAGGTGGAACGTATTCTTCACAAATGTGAAGTAGTCGTTTAAAAAAATGCAGTGCCTGTGAGCCCATGTGCAAGTGGCTTTTTGTCCACCATCTTGTAATGTCAACCATTGGCACACATTTCAGATGAGGTAAACTGTTTCCAGGCCACATTTTGTGACTTCTAAAAATGGGTTTCAGGTCACACAATGTAACCAGTACGGCTTAGAAACTGTACTTTATGAAAGCAATGTTTAGGTTGCTTCTTTCTGTGCTTAGGTACTGTGTATTTAAGAACTAGGGTATGAGGAGAAATTCTACAGGTATAACTCTTCCCAGCAGGAGACCATGAAGGAGAAAATTGAGCCTGCTGAATTTCAGCCTCTCAAACACTTGTTAAAAGTATACTGCTGCTGTCAG